TTTTTTTTGAATTCTTTTTTACTTATTTGCTCAAATTCTAGGGCTGATGTTGACCTTCTCCTTGCCGTGATGAGTCCTTCAGCTCCATCGACGTTGCCTGCCCCGACAAAAAGTAGCTAAGTCTTATGACCTTTCTGAATTTGTAAAAATCCTTCTTCTAGCCCCGTGGGATTACCAACAAGATGCTGCTATCAAAACTCAGAAGGAAAGTAAAGAAATTAGTGGTCAGCGCGTGAATTTGTTGTCCTTGGATGGTGGTGGTATCCGTGGCTTAGTGTTGATACAGGTAGATTTTTTCCATATTTTCTATTTTTTTCAAATGTAAAAATTTTAGATGCTCTCGGAGCTAGAGAGTAAATTTGGTCCCGAATTTCTTGCTTCATTCGGCTGGCTAGCTGGTACGAGCACTGGCGCAATCCTTGCGTTAGCTCTCAGTCAAGGCAAAACTATTCCATTCTGTCGATCTATGTATTTTCGAATGAAGGTAGGGACCTTTGGGTTTTTAGGCCGAAAAATTCCGTAAATTTAAGGATGAGATCTTTCTTGGTGTTCGACCTTATAACGCTGACACTTTGGACGCTTTCCTTAGATCCGAGTTTGGCGAAAACACAACTATGGCTGATGTGACAAGTAAAAGGTAAAAATGGATTTGAAAATACGTAGTGAAAATGGGTTTTTTGAGAATAAAATGAAATTTTTTGAGAATATTCTTCATGTAAGTATTTTTTCTATGAATTTTTTTATTTTCCCATATTCATGCCAGTCAAAAATTAGTGTATAAGTGAGTATAGGTTAGAAAGATGTTTTAATGAATGTGCGAATGATTTGGGTCCTATTTTGTTTTTTCTTTTATGAAGCTGCCATTTTCAGGGTTATGGTCACGACATGTGTAGCAAATGTTTGTCCTCCACAACTACATCTTCTGCGCAGTTATCAGCTGGAGGTTTCTGAAGAAGAAAATGCTAAACTAGGTTTTAGTCCCCCGAAGAATCATTTTATAAAGGATACGGCTCGTGCCTCCAGGTCAGTGGATTACTGAAGTTGTACACGAATTTTCCATTGAGAAAAGAGCTTCAGCGCCGCACCCACATATTTTCCACCTTTTGACAAAAAATACGTCGATGGCGGATTGCTTGCAAATAATCCCTGTCCACAGTTGCTTATGGATGTTCAGCTAGTGAATACAAGCTTGAAAATGGCGGTAAGTAGAATTTTAGTCAAAAATTTTTGGGAATAATTCTGAAATTTTGAGATAGTTGGTTGTGATTAACCGTTTGACCAAGCAAGCTTAATTCTTTAATTTCCGAGTGCTGAAGTCAATTTCAGAATAAAGATGACCAGTGCTACCATGTTGGTTGCGTACTTTCTTTGGGAACCGGCAGAGTACCCCAAGCCATGGTCGATTCTCTCGAGCTTACCGTCCCAAAATCATTTATAGAATTCGCCACTGGTTTTCAAGATAAACTTTCTCTCATCAGCCACCTGAAAAATCTACTTCTTGATCAGGTACGAAAAATTCATCCTACAAAAAGTTTATGGACTTGGTTTTTTCCATTCCAGATAGGAAGAGCTGATGGAGCAGCCGTTGACTGCTCTAGAGCTTGGAGTCATTCCATGTCCGTGCCGTTCTTCAGATATTCACCACAGCTAAGCTCAGCCATTGACTTGGATGAGACCGATGATATTAAGTTGATAAACATCATGTGGGGAACAAAGGTGAGGTGTTTTCCCGTTTTGGACTGCGGTACAATTCGTAAAATCTCTGTTCAGGTCTACATGAAAGAAGAAAATTCTTCAGTGGAGCAGCTAATCGACCTGCTAAAATCCTGCAAAAGGTAGCCATCTGGTCTAACCAAAATTTGCGCCTTTGACACACCTTCAAAGCTATTCGGGGTTGAAAATCTATATATCGTAAAAGCGTAGTTCTTCAATAGTAGTCCAGTCCGTTCAAATTTACCCGGATGTATTATTTCTTTACATAATTTTTAATATATTTGTGTTACTAGTCACACTGCTTCACTTAGTCAATCCTCTCCGAGTTTTATTCCCAGTGATGAGTCTAGAGCATTTGAAATGTGCATCTCTCCTCTGACAAACGAAATCTTTTAATATGCCTTATGTTCATTTCTCTTTCATTCCACTTTGTGACGATGGTAATATATGCAGCATAATAAATACTTGCAGCTATATTCAAGTCTGCCGATTTATCGGTATCACTCTTCGGCCCTCTGCTTATATATAATCGCTTCCCAGCGGTAGTTTGCTCGTGGCTTGCAGACTCGATATATCCAGGATCTAACGTATCTCATTATCAACTAAACAGTTTCATTGAGATTCATCCCAATATCAATCTGGGAGTCGACGAGATGTGTAACGAATGTTATTAGATTGTCCTCGAAGGCAGCGGGCAGGCAAGACAGACCCTTCTCAGATTTTGGCGAAATTAGGCATCAGACCCACCAAGTATTTGTACCCCAAATCCCACGTGCCAATTCATGCGCTAAGTCTTGAAAAATGCGCTTCAAA